TTATATGGCCGTTACTTTATAAGAATCGAACATTCAGCTTAAAGGAGGTAAAGCTATATCATGTTTTCTTCGTAGCCAACAATTTTGTCCGAAAACGACAAAGTATTTACGGTTCAGCTTAATTTGTAATTCTTTTTAATTTTGAATAGTACTGATTTAAGAACACCAGTACTCATATTACTTAACTTTAAACATTTCTAGCTAATAGTTTGTACCACAAAATCGTAAGGAGAAGAAGCAAAAGAACTGAAGCAGCAAAGTTCAATCTTGCTTTTCGTGTAACTTGTGACTGTTAACTTCCAACGAACTGCACAACAAAATTACAAGATAAAGAAAACCTTTCAAATTGTTATGAAAACAGAACGAATAAGGCTAGAACATGAAGAAGTGTCTTTCAACAATAAAAAAAAAACTATCCCAGTTTACGTCAGCACGCACATGGTAAAATGAATAAGAAGAAGTAATTACCATAATAGCTGAGTTCTGATCTCCAAAATTGATTTAAGATATATTCTTGCAATAAAACATTAACTCTAGACTATTTATCATAGAATGTTATTATTAGTTCTATTTAGAAGAATAGACAAACAAATTTGATTACCTCTTAACACAACAGTATAGAGAAAACCACGTGTCCCTTAAGAAACAGGGGTAAAACTATTATTAATGAAGTTTGCTGTAGAACTGTCAGTATCATAGTTTTTTCTTCCCGTATGACGAATTTTACTAAGAATATAATGGTACAATCTACGTAAGTAAATGTGAAATAAATAGAATATAAATGTTGATCAACACAATCTAAAATGGATTTGGTTTTTTTACAATGATTTGACGGAGATTTCTCATGCAATGCGAAAATTCATTTTAGACAAAGTGTCAATAGAAACATTTCTTAAAAGGGAAAAACTTTAAAACAAAATGATTTAAATCCTTGTTTAATAACATGAAATGGAAGTTATCTTTTAAAAACTCAAATTTGTCACGAGTTATTCCCCTTCCTTAAAAATGTAGTCATAAGGAGTTATACTTTTTCATTGAATAATCTAAGCCTTAAACAAACGGCTGGCATGTAACACACTGTGTACGGGAAGTTGAAAGAATTTAAAAAAACGTATTAACAAAAATTGAAACGCAATCAAATTATACAATACATAAGAGTAAACTGCGTTGATTGATTGACTGGTGATTGTTGCTGTTTAACTCCACTTTCAGCATACTTGGTTTTATCATGGTGGTCAGTTTTTAATTGGCAGAGGAAGCCGGAGTGGGAAACTGACCTTTCGCAGGAAAACCGAGAATCCTAGTCAACTGATTAAGATCGGAGTCGAACGAACGAACCTTGCCACAAGCAGGATTTGAACTCACAACGGCTAGTGATCACTGCAGAGGAAATACTTAGACCACTCGATAACTGATGTTCCTTGTATTGCAATGACAACGTGTCTCTTAATTTGCCGTAAATAAAGATGGGTTTACAATTGTAGTTTGAAATGGGGTAATTGTGACTTGTCGGGAAACTTTGAAATTATTTTGTTCGAGCATCTGGCAAAATTGACTTAATACTGATGTTTCTATCACTTTTGGTATCTTTCATATAGCTATTGACGTGTTTGTCTATTTTTATATCATTGGCTTTCATATATTTGGGTTTGAGCGTTCCCGATGAAGGTTAATCAAGAAAAGCGCTTCGGACGCATCAAATTTATGAAATGATATTCACTTTGGAGTCTTATGGAAACTAAACTCAACGTTAAAAGAGCGCTCATGGAGATATTCGAAATCGGAAAACTGATCATTACTTACAGGAGAACAACCGAAAGAAACAAACAACAATTTACCACTTACCTTTCCGGAGCACCTGAGATCACACCTGGTTTGTGTTGCTCAGTCTTTAGTTTTCTATATTGTGTTTTGTGTACCGTTTTTCTTTTCGTCGTTTTTTGTTTCTTGCCATTGTATTGCACTTATATTTATTAGTAAAGAAAGAAGGTCTGTCCGATGGTATTCTATAGTCACGTGGACTATCGGTATCTTACCTCCCACAAAGGGTATGCTATGACCTTCATCAAGGAACTCATGTTGTGCATATCGAATTTGGAATCAAATTCAAGTTAAGCATACAAATATGTCATATCAGCAATCGAAATAAACATCCTGTAGGTAAAGGTACCATGCTTATAATTTAATACGCCAGACGCGCGTTTCGTCTATACAAGACTCATCAGTGACGCTCAGATCAAAATAGTTATAAAGCCAAACAAGTACAAAGTTGAAGAGCATTAAGGACCAAAAATTCAAAAAAGTTGTGCCAAATACGGCTAAGGTAATCAATGCATGGGATAAGAAAATCCTTAGTATTTCGAAAAAAAATATTTTTGTAATTAAAACATTTAATTGATATGCATGTCAACATGTTTGTGACTCCGTAGAGGTGTATTTATCACGTACATAAAAGACTACAGAATACACGTATTTTTTTTCAAATTCAAAGCTGATGGTTTTTACACGAAATATTTTATTTGAGTCGTAAGGTTTGTAGTATAAAGAAAATAACCATTGATAGTTCTTAGAAGTACTCGGTTCGAAACAGGAAAACATTTATATTATATCAGTTACGAAATATAACAACTTGTATGTATAAGATATTTCATTTTAGTTCCGGGAAAACAAAAAAAAAACAATTCATATATAAATGTATTTTAACACTCATTAGTTTTGTTTCTAATGTGTCTGCTATGCATCTACGAATGAAAAGCACTGAGCGGAGTTCATATAAAGACATTAGCCATAAACCTCAAGGGACAGTGAAGTCTTTATATTTGTCATGGCTTGTTATGCAAAACAATAATTTAATAATGTGTTTGATCCGTCTTCCATCTTAAGAAACACTTAGTTGCAATTGGCATCACAATTGTTCTAGGGCAAGTTAACCTTGTTTTTATTGAAAATTGAAAATTAGTCTTTGAGCCACGAGTTATATTAAAGATTTTTCTTAAATTTAACATATCATGAAGAGATTAGTATTATGTTCATTATATGTATATTGAAGTATATTCTTTCAGCTAGGGGTGTGATAACAGCAATTGAAAGTCAAGACCGAGGAATGATAAGAGCTTTCACAACTATTTGGCCTTTGAAATTGCAAAAATAGTCAATCGGTGCATGGCAGATCATAGCCTGTAGTATATTTGGTGTCTGTCATGTTTTTTTCCCTAAATTAGTTGTTATAAATTGGGCCGTTGTCTTATTGGCAATCATATCACATCTCCTTACATTCATATTAAATTCTTTATTCCTTTTAACATTAATGAATAGGATGCTAAAATCTGAACACTTATAAGTGAAAAAATATCAGTTATTTTAGTGCCGAAATGTCATATATGATATCTTTCTGATGTCATAAATATGTCGTAGAAGAAAACTTATTTGGCCTAATGTGGTGTACACAAAGTTATATTATAATACTACCAAATAACTGTGTGTACTATATTAGGTCAAATATGTTTACTTAGACAATTTTTGGTTGTTTGTTTTTTTTTTTTTTACTTACCCACTTTTCAAATTTACCTTTGAGTTCAGTATTTTTGTTAAAACTTTTACACCACAGAGCAAAATGATGCACCTCACTACACAGTTCATGGAAGTACCAAACGCCACATAAGTGCATTGAATATCATAGATTCATTCATAGCCTAAATTCTGAATTTGGTTGCTTAGTTTTTAATTGATATCCACGAATTTCAGTGTAATTTCTGTCGTGGTATTTCATTTTACTTTTAGACAAAAAAATGTTGGAAGAATGTAATAAAGTGTTATGGCCTTATAAGACTGCATGACATTGTTGGAAGACAATCTATATTTTTTTCATAATTCCGCTCAAAATAATAACTTTTCATAAAAATAGATATTTTTTGCGTGATACATCTAAGACACTATTCACGCTATTGTGAGAATCGTATTTATTTGACCCGGTGAACACACGTTTTAATGGTCAAAGAGTTTTCTAATTAGACTTCTTTGATGGAACGTATGATTTGTCCAACTGTAATGAAGGGGGTGGTGATTCGAAAGATTAATTATTAATAAGCAAATCAAAACAATAAAACGTCCTCTTATAATTTTTTAATTTATTTCGTAATAAGTGAAAGAAGAGAGGTGGAAGATACCAATGGTACATCCAAACTAATAAGTCGAAGACAATCTGAAAAACGACCAAAAAGACTAACAACGGTCTACAAAACACAACATACAGGGGCGGATCCAGCCATTTTGAAAAGGGGGGGTTCTAATCCTGGATAAAGAGGGGTTCCAACCATATGTCTCCATTCAAAACCATTGACCGTCAAAAAAAGAGGGGGTTTCTACCCCCTGAACACCCCCTGGATCCTCCACTGACATAGAAAACGAAAGACTGAGCAACACAAACCTATCAGAAACCGAGGGTGATGTCAGGTGCTCCGGAAGGGTGGACGTGTGGAGAAGAACAGGATAGTTACCTAGACAAAAGGAAGAGTTCAGTTATCATCAGTGACACAGATGTTCCTTAGCGGTCAAAAAGTCAATGACGACCGTACAACTTTGGAATTGATTATTTCATCTTTAGCATTAGGAGCCCTTGCTTCAGCAGGAAGTTCTTTATCGGAACATAAATTATTTAGCGGTAAAATATCATTAAGTCAATATGTTTTTAAACTTTAAAGTGTATCTTTTTTGAACAGATAAATCGCGTTTGAAAATACCGTTGAAAGTTTATTATTGAAAAAGAGATCAACATGTCAGATTGTATCTTTCGTTATTCACAATTTTATTAAACTTACATATAAATGACTTTGTACGTACACCGATCTTAAGATTGCAGTCAAACACACCTGCCACCAGCGAGGTTCGAACTCACAACCTCAGTGTTGACTGGCTAGTGATACTGTAGATGAACTATTTAAACAACTCAGCCACCGAGGCTCCTGATTTCTTTCGATAAGTGTAAAATAAAAATAACATACCTCTTAAATTCTGTATTAAATTACTGCATATTTCTTGATTATCCAAACACCAGCGACTTAGTTCATCTGCGTGTACTATTCCTGAAAACCAGTTTATAATTGCAGCAACTATAAGGGTAGCATAACTTGTTGTCCACATTACTGGCCGTGCGTGATAATTTCTACAAATAAATAAAAACTACGATTATTATTATAGTTATTATTTTAATTTGTTAATCTTTATTATAACTTTTTTTTATATCAATCGGATGTTTAGTTAAATTAATTGACTTACAAAGTATAATTATTCAAATTTTCTATATGCAATATTGTATTAGTCTTCTAACAAAATTGTGCACATCTAATCAATTTCAAACGACAGTGCAATTGACAATGCTTGGTAAAAAGACAATGGACTTAAAGGCAACCTTTTATTCATAAAAAGAGAAACATAGTTTTTGTGTATACACCTCCACAATTACAGTAACATATTTTCGATATCTCACATTAATTGTGTCGAAAGTATAATTGTTAAGGCATTCGTCAATTTGAATTAGATAAATGTCTTTCTAGTTCAATGAAAAAGAAAAGCAGAGCTGTTTCTTTCTTAAACCAAATATGATGTACGTTTTTTAAAGTTATTAAAATTCTACCGGAACAGCAGAATAGTAGTGTTCCTTGCGAAAGCTCTATCTTATCGTGAAGTAAACAAACAATAGATAAACTGCTGCTTTCACAACGTCCAGTAGCCAATAATTCACGAATGTTGAGGATAAAAACAATTTGTTGCAAATTATCAATCAGTAGAATCTGAAGAACATTTGCATTGCTAGTTTTCCGTTTCAAAGGGAAGATCATGCCAATATGATTCAAAAACAAGCGGACGACAAATGAATATTCAAAACTCATAAGTCGAAGAAAAACCGAGGACGCTATGGCATAAATGAAAAACGACAAAAAGACGAACAAGTCAACAAATCACTGAAAATAAAACTAAAGACTGAGTAACACGAACCCCCACAACCCGGTTTTTATTTAGTACAAATTGATAGAAATCGCCAATACTGCTTCAGTCCCTGGTCATGACATTTACATAGCAATGTGAAAAACGTTATTTTATTTAGATAACAGTATTTATTTTTACGACAGATAACCGTTGAACTAATCCGAACAGGATTTGGGTCATGTAAAAATACGGTTGCCAATGAGGCACTTTCCAAAAACAGAGTTAAATAACGGCAGTGATTGGCGTGAACGGCTTTCCTGGTTTACGGGGAACATTCATTTTAAAAATTTGAAAGATGTATCCACATATGGAGAGCTAAATAACCTGATCAGCTCAAAATTTCTTTTTTTTTAGAAAACAAACACTCCTATGGATCAATGTACTGAATATGCAGTACTGGAAATAAAACAATTTATTTCCGTGGATTCATATATGATTTAGTTCAAATATTATATAGAGATCCGATGAATCATTTACAACCATACATTCATGCATACGGTTCATTTAATTCCCCATAATCTACATTGAAAGGGTTACAGACCTTTTATATCTATACTTTCATGCCTGATATAATGTTTACCATTCGGATTCTGTTTCTTTCTGGTCTTAATAATTTCTAACTCATTCATTGATAAATACATTTCTATTTTTGAGTTGTTCTTGTTAGTTTAAAAGTGCAAATGGCATAGGGTCTGGATGGAGAGAGGGTCTTCATTGCAAAATGTGTTGCCATGTTTCTCTTTTCTTTATATTTAGCACCGAATTATTTTCTATTCTTTAATTTATTTGTCCAATTTTTATTCTCTATTCTTTATATTTTAGCAACCCATTATTTTCTATTGTTTATTATTTTTGGCATATTTTTCCTTATTCTTTGTAGTTTTTGCCCTTGTTTCTTCACTTTATGCCCATTGTTATCTATTCTGTTAACTCAATTCAGAAAATCCTCTTTATAGCTTCTAGCTCCTTCATCAATAAATTCTAATTTTGAGATGTTTTTGTAAGTTAAAAAGAGATACCGGCGTATTCGTCAAGTAAAATGGAAACTCAACCTCTTTTGAATGGATAGATTGAAATCGTCGGATAATGTGTCATTTACTCTTATTTCATTTCTGGTTGATGAATAACATTCATAAAAATTGATAGCATGAATGTTATTAGACACTTGGAAGTGAGAAGGGATTTGACACCTTATTTTTTACACAATAGTTTTTCCTATTTAGTTTTCGTATGAATTACAGTCAAGATTGTTATTTAAAACTACGAGACGAAAATATAAATCATTTCTGGGTAATACATTTTGCTGTCAGTCCATATCAATACTGTTCATTTTGCGTGATCTCATTTTCTTACACTTGAAAATCTAGATGCCGTTATAGAAAAAGAGAGGCAAAAGATATCAAAGACATATTCAATCTCATAAGTCGAAAACAAACTAACAATGTCATGGCAAAAAAAAAGACAAACAGTAGTATACAACACAATAGAGAAAACTAAAGACTGAGCAACACGAAACCCACCAAATATCGGGAATGATCTCAGGTGCTCCGGAAGGGTAAGCAGATTCTGCTCCACATGTAGCAAAGTGACAAAAAAGAGTTGGTAAAAGGAAACAAGTAAAGGAAAGTAAGGATACATGTAAATGCAGACAGTCTTGGATCTTCCCGTTTGTAAGATATTTGTATACCTAGGATGTAATGAAGAATCCAATTCTAGAAACAAACCAAACTTTAGGGGCGGTGGTAGGTCTACAAAACATTTTCGGCAAAAATTTTAAGGAAACTGGTTTCCGACCAATTTCAAACCGTCAATTCGCCGCAGAATCTAATGCATTCTGGGTAATTTCATTGTTTGTATCCCAAAATGAAAACGACGTCACGTTATTGGTTGAATTTCAACTGTTTGTGGACGTTATTACACAATCACAGCGTTTTTGGTGTACGTTTTTGAAAATATTACCCAGAATGCTTTAGATTCTGAAATTGTCATTGTCTTAAAGCCATCAAAATCATCAAATGCAATAGTTTGTAAATTTCGAAACAAAACTTCTACATATGAATGACTTTCACAGGATTGTTGTTATTTCCAAAAGTGAAAACAGCTTCCCGTTTTATAGCCAATGTAATTTTATTTAAGAATTGAATTAAGCGTTGACCGTGCGTACATTTTTAGAATGAAGCGCTTCCGCGCTTTATACAAAATGTACCTCGGTCAACGCTTTTACACCCCAATGAATATTCTAAAAGAAGCATTCAATACTTATAATTACATTTTTTCGCTATGATCATGAAAAGACGATAACTATCAAGTTTTTCTTTTATTCACCTGTGCACTTTATTGTGGAAACGTGTGTCATCATGTATGTTTCAATTCATGCAATTCATTTTGAAATGAAGGATGACGCGAGATTGCTGTTAGCCAATCAAAATAACGTATAATAATGAAACATACATCTAATGTATTTATAATAGAATATGCCTAATCTCTTAATCTTATCAAAGAAAAGTTTAATTGTGAGCAAATGAGAAAAAAACAATTTCTTTTTGGAACTTCTTGAAAGATGGTTCGGAAAAAAATTACAAATGACGTATTTTTTATTTTCCTTGTTCAAAGAACTACACATTGGATCTACTTCTGTATGCAGCCGAGGGTCACACATAACCCTCCATCGAATGATTTAAAATGTACGACCGTTATCTGTTGAATTTAGTGTTAAACAATAACTTTGTTGGCACTACAAAAGATTTTTTTATAAATGGTTAACACCACCATAATCGATTTTAGATTACTAGTAATTTAATTTTTTTTTTGTCAATAATGTTTAATCCGAATTTTTGGCACTTGTTTTTAAATTTTTGCATAAAAGGAGCGTTGTAGAATGTCCAAACTTTCTTCTGGTAAACAGTACAGATCGTTCGCATGAAAACATGTTTTGTTTGTCTCGATTTCAATCGTACATATTACACTAGGAAGTTGTTTATACCGAAATGCAAAACTCTTCATTGAAAAAAAATCAGAAGCCAAATTGACCGTGTTCTTATCTTATAAAATCTAAATGAATTATTTCCAAATAAATTTATTTATTTTCGCCTTGTTCAAAAATCAATTCCACATTAGTTACTGATTTTATTTGATAACCGTATAAGCAGTCATCTTTTCTTGATCAAATTGAACAAGTGAGATCCACTCAAAATCAAATTTCTTCATCGTTTATCATCATAGTAACAGTTACGAAAATCAATTGGAAGCTAATTTTTCCAATTCACACATTTTATCTTCGGTTCAAACATTATCCAAAATTGATCTGCACATTGGTAAATTGCTATCATTTCTGTTAAAAAAACTGTCAGGAAATATATCTCGAGAGTTATCTATAGTAAAGGTTAATTGAGTGATTAAACCCCCTTTGTTGTTTCTGCTGTTTTCATTTAAGGTGTCATATAATAATTTGACATTCGCCACTTGCAAGTTTTTTTTTAAATCCCATGTCAGAGCGGAAATAATTTTTCTCTTGATGGATCATCTATATGATGTGGTGTTTATAGGTAGTTTGGGAAATATAAACTTATCATCATATACAATTGAGGGTCTGGGAGGAGGGGGTGGGGTTTTTCAATTCTTTCTTCTTCAATAGTTTAAGTCATCTTTCTATATTCTTTATATTTTTTGTGCCCGCCCACATTATTCTCTACTCCCTATTTTTGGCCCAATGTTCTCTATTTTTTATTTGCTTGTTCCATTTTTCTAAAGATTTGGCCTATTGTTTTCGTTTCTGTAGATCCCATTAAGACCCTCATATATAATTATTGTAGGTGATTTTAATGAGTGAGAGAAAGTTACAATTTTCTTTATTTTGTTGTTTCTATCACTTTCACTCAAGGTATCCAATGAAGTATTCTCAATGTTTGCGCACGCGTTATTGTTGATATTTCCATATCAACTTTGTTGACCTTGTATGGCTATTATTTTAGGTCCTTTTTTGGTCATAAAGCTCTTCAACTATTTCGGTTCTTATAAATCCCGGCTTAGCTTTCAAAATATTCGACTTTGAGCGTTCCTGATGAAGGTAAATCCGGAAAAGAGCTTCGGAAGCATAACATTTATATAGTGCTACGATCACTTTTATTGTCTTTTAGACACTCAACGATAATTTATTTGATATAATGTTTTAACGAT